TTAAAAACCTTCCACGAAAAGGCCGTGCGCAACCGGCCTCAAGCAGTTGTCCCTTGGGCTCTGCGGTCACGCTCCCAGGTCGTTAAGACCAACACTAATCCGACTTCTTTTTCAGTTTCCTTAAGAAGTACCCTTCCACAGTGTGGGCAGCCGGGAAGTGATATCAGCCCTCATACCTGTAACAGCACACAAGACCAAGTTGGTCACATTCAAATCCTTCCTACACCTCCTAATACCTCTCTTATTTCCATGACTAACCCTCTTCACATCGCTTTATCATCTCGCACCGCTATGGCAAACTATTCGATTACGCGGAACGTTATTCCCGGTCTCCTGAAACCACGCTGTAAACTACACGTAGGATCTTTTAACGGCAGAATACTGTGCTAAATAGAACAGCAGGCTTCCTTAGCTATGACTTTATAGTCCTGCTCCATCAAAGTGTGCTGCGTTTCCGAAACGCGCATAGAGGATGCAAGTAGAGTCATTCATCTGACCTCACCATACCAAAATAAAGAACCGACTCGATTCACACTTCGTGTATCTGGAAGCACAGATTCTGCTTCCCGTGGCCTCGCCGGCATAGGTATAGCATTGAGTCCTAGGGCAAAACTAGCTCTCTTGGACTGAACCTCAGTAGACAGTCGTTTGTGCGCTGTCCGACTAAACGGAACAATAAGGATTCGGAAAGATAGAGACACTCGGCGTTGCCTCTTCGTCGTCTCTGCCTATCCTCCCACTGACTGCAGCTCAGATGATGTAAAAGATGAATTTTACAGAAAGCTTTCTGACCTCCTCCTAAAAGCTAGGCGCTCTAAAGTAGTAATAGTGGCCGGTGACTTTAATGTTCAAGTAGGTAAACTAAGCAAAAAGGGAAGACACTTAGGTAGATCTTATGTTGTCATGGCTCAAAGAAAAGATAATGGCGACCGTCTGTTGCAGCTATGCTCAGATAACCACCTGTTCCTTGCAAACACCAACTTTAAGCATAAGGAAAAACATCTTTTAACATGACGACCCCCTAATTCGTCCCAACGTTGGACCCAAATAGATCACATCGCTATCAGCCACCGGTGGAGGTTCTCGATAGACGACTGTCGCTCATTCTGGAGCACATGCTTAGATTCAGATCATGCTCTAGTACGAGTGCGTATCTGTCTGCGTCTTACTGGACGTTGGAAAGACGCTGCAAGGAAACCTCTTAGGGCCCTACTTAATGATAGTCAAGCTAAGAGTATATTTCAGGAACAACTAGGAAAACAGTTAGACAGCCATGTATGTAATGCCCACCCCGAGGCAGCATGGAATGATATGCGTAAAGCTGTGGAAACAGCAGTGATATCTGCTAGTAAGGTAAACCAGAAGGTTAGAGAGCAACACTGGATCTCAGCAGCATCTATCGCACTGATAGATGCTCGGAAACTCATTCCACCTGGCTTTGAACATAATGAATAGCGGAGTCAGATTAAACGCAAGCTGACAATAAGTCTACGCAATGATCGTGAACAGTGGTGGGTAGCGAAAGCAAGAGAGATGGAAAAAACAGCGGCAATAGGTAATAGCAGACAATTGTTCAGACTTGTTAAGGAAACCGGTATTAGGAAACCGACTGTTAGCGAAACAATCTCAGAAAAAGATGTACATATTATACATTCTCAATCCAGGAGATTGGATTGATGGGCAGAACACTTTAGGGATCAGTTCAACTGGCCTTCAGCCACACTTCTGTTTCCCACGATCTCGAGTAGACCTGAATGGCGAGTTGATGTAAGTCCTCCAAGTCTTTACAAAGTTGAAAAAGCAATCGGAAATCTGAAGCAAGGGAGAGCAGCAGGCCCTGACAAATTTCCTCCTGAGATTTTTAAGGATGGTAATTCAGTAGTAGCAGTAAGATTAACTGAGGTCTTAGATAGAATTTGGAAACTGTCCGTAATCCCATCTGATTGGTCTCAATCACTGATTGTGCCAGTCTATAAGAAAGGACAAAAGTCCTCCTGTGAAAATCACAGAGGAATCAGTTTGACAAATATAGTGTCTAAAACATTAGCTTCAATAATACTTCGACGCCTAACTAAAGATCGTGAAGAGCAAACTAGAGAAAACCAGGCTGGTTTTCTACCTGGATGTGGTTGTATAGACCAGATATTCATATTACTACACAGATACACGTTCAGACGCCACACAATCGTAGTATTTCTCGACCTTAAGGCCGCATTCGACTCTGTTGATCACGGGGTTTTGTGGCAGTGCTTGTCATTGAAAGGAGTACTTGAAAAGTACATTAACCTTGTAAAGGCTCATTACTCGAACACAACTGGTCAAGTAAGAGCTTATGACAAACTGTCATCAGGGTTGCCCACTCTTTCAATTCTTGTTTAACTTTGTCATTGACGTACTTTTAGAGATAACAATTTCCTCATTTAAATTTCCAGTGGTTGAAATTCTGCGGGGAGATTCATTTGTTGACTTGGAATATGCCGATGGCAGTTCTATATGCTGAAGACGCTGACAAAATTCAGAGTCTTCTGACCACTCTAAGAAACAATGCAAGCATGTTCGACATGAGATTCTCCCCCTCGAAATGCAAAATGTTGCTTCAGGATTGGGTTGCATCGACACCTGAACTAATGATAGGGAGTGAAGTAGTTGAGCGTGTCGATCGCTTCACTTATCTCGGAAGTCTCATCAGCCCTTGTGGTCTGGTGTGTGACGAAATCTCAGCACGGATACAGAAGGCTCGACTAGCTTTTGCCAACTTGCGTCATTTATGGCGTAGGCGAGATATCCGTCTACCAACCAAAGGACGTGTTTACTGCGCAGCAGTTCGTTCCGTCCTACTTTATGGCTGTGAAACATGGCCAGTAAGAGTAGAGGATATTCGTAGGTTACTAGTATTTGAGCATAGGTGTCTTCGAAACATTGCTCGTATATTCTGGGACCATTGAGTAAGTAATGTAGTTGTTAGGAAACGGGTACTAGGTAAGGATGGCAAATCAATTGATGAAGTAGTGAAACTTCATCAGTTAAGACGGCTGGGACATGTGTTACGTATGCCCTACCACCGACTGCCTCGACGTGCGATATTTCATGGTGTAGGGGAGGGTTGGAAGAAAGCTTCGAGCGGCCAGATCAAAACATGTCACAAGTCCAAGCAGTCATTGACAAGTGGAGTGAGTCATGTCGGTAGGTGTAGACTACTTGGGTGAGGACCGCGAGATGATAGCAACCGATGGTTAGAGACCCTGAATGACATGACTCAAAATCGTTTGCAATGGCGCAGGTGCATACACTCTTTGTGTTCTCCCAAATTTTGATATCTTTATTCCTCCTTGTCTTTTTTTCCTCTTCTCAATTTATTTCACTGAATTATACTCTTTAAATAACATCTCCAAACCCTAATCTTTCCGATTACTGCTTATACTCTTACTACCTCTACCACTATGGGATTTGAATCGACAATTGGATCTCTGTGTTTAGGTGGTGTCTGTGTGTGGTGATGTACGGACGTACGAAGTTCTACGTTATTAATGACTGACCGACTGACTCGAAGACGCTTGAGACACGACTATCCTCTCCAGAAAAACATGGGCTAAAACGGGAATGCTCAGTCTGCATTCTACAAGCCAGTTCGTAGTGATCACAACGGGTGATATACTGAAGCTTATTGTAGTTCTGTCATGCTCAGTAACACTTGAAGATATGACTATAAGTTCAATTTGTTACATACCAGACGATAACCTAGATTTATTCCGTTTAAACTTGTTTTTATGGGTTCAAGATTCAAGATATCCCATTGCGAAACGTATGTAATAGAATTGTAAGTGAAGATGAAGAGCAGCGGTATCTCACAAAAATCGTGAATCAATTTTCGAACACTTTGCAGAAAGTTTAGAGCATTGCACAGCAAAGAATGTATATCTCCATTTGAAGAAAGTGCTAATCCAGTGTTTCGGCCACAAAGACAAGTTTCTTATGCATCATTACCGGGTTTACACGAAGAACTCCAATGTTTAAAAAAACCTGATGTCCTACCATCAGTTTCATTCTCATGTTCGGCAACTTTCCAGGTGGTCATAAAGAAACTAAATGGTACACTATGGATCTGTGCGTACTTCGTAACTGGATTAAATGCAGTTCTAGTACAATATCATTATATTTTGCTCACTCCAGATGATCTTCTTACTATATTAAATGGTGAAAACTGCTTTGCAAAACCAGATATACCCGAAGCATATCTATAAGTAGAGGTAAACTCTTCATGACGTGAATTAATGATAATAGGCTTACATCGGGTTTAATCGACTTCCTTCCGGAGTAAAGAAAGCACCGCTATATGAAGCTTTGGTGACATTTTGGAGAAGTGACATTAAAATCCCAAAATTTCTCCAAGTCTTAGAAAAATCCTCAATATTTTTCCAAAATCTTATAGCACTGACTATTTCCTGAGAACTGTTCTCAAACTCTGGAAAAAGCTATCATATTTCTTAGGAGTATGAAGATAACCCCAAAATACGGAGATCGGAAGTAAGATGATAAATGATGTAAGAGAATAATTGAAGGCAATCTATCCTTTTTGGAGAGATTGCGGAAAGATCGTTCGAATTCAGTGATTACTGCTTAAGTCTTGAAAATAATTGATTTATGAAATCAATCGAAACAAGTTCATGATGCAAACACACACACACAAGGACTCACACAGTGATAATAATTAAAATATTGATTTTCTTTTGAATCATATGATATTGAATTTAACCAATGAATATGAATTCTGTATTCAACGATTAACCCTAGAACATATTGAACAGTACACATGATAATTTACAATGTATCATATATGGAATTAATGGAATATTAAGCAACAAACAAAAAACATGTACTGATAAACAAATGTAATGACATTTCTTATCGATCCAATGTTAAAGTTACCAAATGTGACTTTTCATAATTCATGTCTGTTTTTTTGTATTGAGTATATAAGTGGTGACATGATTGACAACATCATATACACATAAATATTATCCAGAAGAAAATGGTATGTAAATCATTGTTGATTATTCAATTCATTATGAACTATTTGAATATTTCAATAGTTGAGATCATGATTCAATTGAAGCTAGATCACTATGGAAAAACCGGAAACACTGAACGGTCATTTTATTCTAATGTTGGACTCTTTAGCAGTGAGCATTCACGATACTGTCTCGCGAGATTCGAACTCAGGACCTGTCGATTTTGAATGCAAGCACTTAAATTTTAGACCACTGAGCCGGCATCCGATGGTGTTAATGTCTAACTTCAACTAATCCACGTAACTAAGCGATACACACATGATCTCAATTATTGAAATTACTGTAATATCCACAAAAAACCCTTCTGATATTGAATAATGTTTGTTCAAGTTTGATATTATTCATTTTCATTATTGATGTTAAGAGAGACTCACGACCAATCCACTCAGCTTTGAAAACGAAAATCCGCCGAACTATCTACTGAACATGGAAATGATGTCCATATATATATATATATATATATATATATATATATATATATATATATATATATATCACGAAACAGATTAGACTGTTATCCGTATGAGATTATAGTGTGTTACTAAGATTGTATTGGCCGATGCCATGTCCAACACACATAGGTTATTCTAGCTTCTAGAGATAGCGGTTCATTAATTCTTCTCAAGATGCGATTTGACATTGTCAATCATTCGCTTATTAACCCTGAATGTTTTTATATGATCGTATATGTGTTAATTACTTACCCTATTCATTATGTGTCTGTAACCTATTTCATTTTACTTTAAATATTGAGTTACATTCGATAAGAGAAGTTTAACAATGTGAGATGTGAGGTTGTTATCCACTGAAACCAATTCAAAACTGTCACATAATATCATGGATCGATTTAGATTAGGTTTATACGCCATTGAATGTTGACTCGTTGATCAGGACATTAAGCATTTGTTTGTAAGATCAAGTGTTTTGAGTTCGATGTTCGAATGTGGGAGAAGCCTCATACTAACCCGAAACGGCCTTCCAGTTCCTCTAGGATTCGAAAACCCGCTTAACCTAGATCGATTGGTAATCTCAATAAATTTCGACGGTATTTGAGAAACAATGTGGGAGGACTTATTCAAGCCAACTTAATACCCGTATTTTTAAAGAAATGAGAGTAAGTTATTCATAAAGATAATAATCCATTCTCCCCACCTTCATCAAACTGTAGACTGATATCCTGTGATATAATAAATATTAGGGTATGATGAAAAACGATTCAAACTATGGAAATTCTACTATGTTTCTAAAACCCTATACGAATGGAGGTATAGGTCTTAACAGTTCTCACCTACTTAGCAACCTATTTTTACATAATGTTAGGGAATCATACATTGTCAACATTAGTGCCAGTTTATTGGAACTTAGTTTCTACCGTTGTGCAAATAAATCTCAAAAGAATCATCATCATCTAGTAAACGATGATTGTTTATGAGTCGTTGAAAATCAGAATCCTTGAGATCTAAGATTTGTGACAGGGATGGTGATTGAAAATATCTTGAGTACTCAAAATTTCAAACAAACGTTTACCAACGTAGATAACAGATGACAAAAATTACTCGAAAACCGTCATACTTGTCAACTATACTAAGCCTACTCTATTGAGTTAAGTCTTACTAGAATCGTCAGTAGGCAAGTGTCAGAGAAGTCTGATCGATTCGATAGCCAGTAAACAGTGAATACTGCATTCACGTTGCCATCGATATTCACAGTCGAGTACAATTGATATTCGTATACAAATTACATCGTCATAATTTATTTGAATGCTTTGTTTATCTCAGTATTTCACCTAGTCATTTGATCTTTTCGTGATCTAGAGCACTTTGACATTCATGGAACTTATCACAGAGAATCGGTTACTCCTGCTTACTGCACTCATCGTTACTTGGATAAGTTTCAAACTTTCACAGTTATTGTTGATCTATTTGAAATACACTGTTGGAGTATGGTGCTTTTCTAAACGGAAAACACTTCGTCAGGCTGGTGAATGGGCAGTTGTCACTGGTGCATCGTCAGGTATTGGTCAAGCGTATGCAGAAGAACTGGCCAAAGAGGGTCTCAATGTCATGCTTATAAGTAATGATGAGAAACAACTGTCGTCCGTTGCTGATCAAATCACAAATACCTACAATGTTCAAACACGAATTGTGGTTGCAGATTTTACTAAAGTAATATCCATTCTCAATTAATCTATTAATTATATTATTTTGAAATTATTGTCATTGACTTAAGTGATCAGTTCGATTTGTCACTCGGTAGTGTTTGAATAGATTGACAGGAGTTGTGCATCACTAATTGCTTTGTTCATGAAGTGATAGATTGTTAGTCGAGTTATTACTGACACTTGAGTCATGTGATCATGTGAAAATGATCATCAATGATAACATGCATTTGAATGTAGAAATGCGATTGAAGACATTCTTTTCACGAAAAGTATTTCTATAATTCACATGCATGAGATATATCAGTTTCATATAATAAACCTTTCATTATTATTTCATAACTGTTTAGTAAATCTCACAAACATCACAAATTCGAGACGAGTAAATGAATGTGTGTATATATATGTGTGTGTGCATTTACATTGTCACACGTTCTATGCAGCACTGCATTAATAATGAAATCACGAGGGATTGTGATAGAGAGACAGTTGACGTGTCTGCAGTGATGATACAATAATAAAAATAATGCAATAAATACGACATACATTATCAAACACGGAGATAGACATTGGACATTTTGCTGTCAATCTTGTCACCAGAGTTGTTACAACGATTCTTCAATTTAATACCAAAGCATCCATACACGATGCACCCAAACTGACAAACGCTGATTGGATTTCGGTCGTGAATATTGGAGACGGAAAAACGCAGATATCTATCATCAATATATGATATAATAGTTGAACAAATAGCAGGATAGTCGATCTCACCCCCCTCAGTGTATATCGCGTTAGCTATTGAGAAACAAGTTAGAGAATTTGTCTCAGATTCATCCACAGTTCACCATCCAAACGCATCAGAATATGTTGATATGTTTGAAATTTGATCAAATATTCAAACACTAAAACACTTCAGGGACATTCAAATAATCAACTTCCACCAATCTTGTGTTCTCTTTTATTTAGAATGATGTTTATGAAATAATAAGACCTGCTGTTGACCAATTGTCCACAATTGCTTGTTTAGTTAACAATGTTGGTATGGTGTTACCGTTTGAGTTGTTTGCCGGAGAAGTTCATTCCCCAAATGAAGAATCAATTAAAAATATCATTCATTGTAATATTTTGTCTACAGTGATCATGACAAGCATCATTTTGCCGAAAATGTTAACACAGAAAGGACCTAATCCTGGTATCATAAACATTGCATCCTATACAGCTTTGAAAGTGGCGCCCTACTTGACAATTTATCCTTCAACCAAAGCATTCATTATTCAATTTTCCAGATGTCTGGCTGCAGAAAAGTATAGAAAGAATGTCATTGTACAAACGCTGTATCCATTGTTTGTATCTACAAATTTGACCGGTTTAAGAAAAGCCACATATTTCACACCATCTGCTAAAGTCTATGCTAAAAGTGCATTGGATATGTTTGGTGTTGAACAACAAACCACTGGTTATTTTCCACATGAGTTGAAAGCATTTGTATACAATCTAATGCCAACATCATTGTGGGTAAGAATAATCGAACGTACGTTCACTCCAATTAGTAAAAAATCCAAGAAGGTTGACTAACATGAATGTTGTTTTTCAACTTTGCTGAGAAACAGTAAAACCTAAAAATGAACATTTCGAAGATTTTACGAATTATTTTCCAATTAATTAAATGTAATGATATAAATCCATTTTATACCATAGTTTCTCGTTAGCTGCTTACAACCAAGTTGGTGTTAATTTTTACATTTAGGTAAGATTTATTATGAAACAATTGACATAAATGAATGAAATGCATTGAAATGACAAAGAGTTTCATGAAGGGTTTGCATAAGATTCCTGGAATTAAAAAGAACTGGTAAAATTGATTAGTTAGGGTGCATGTGACTATGGTGACTAATGATTGGAGACTTTGGGTGACATGGCTCAGAATCAATCACAATGGCCTAGGTATATACACTCTCTGTCTTCCTTTAAACTAAGAGATTAAAATCACTTCATATCTTTCTTTCTTCGTATTAATTTTTTTCCTGTACCACCCTTGGAGTAACTATTTCTATGAATTTGGTGTTTATCTTGTGTTATTTAAGGTATGTCAACTTGAAGCGATGCATTTATGTGCATGGTCCTACGTTGTAGTTGACAGACTGAATGGTAAGATAGGTTGCATAATAATTAAACAAGATTTGAGAAGTTCATATAATTTAAGAGAATTGAGTAAGTGGAAATGTATAGATGAAAGGGGGGGAGTGTTTGTTTAAATGTACATAAAATAGGAATTCGACAACGGAAGAGCAACATAACACATATCTCATTTGTTTCAGCAAACGAAATAGAAGCAGTATTTCTTTGCCTACTAATAATTTAAAAGTTTTAAGGAATATCAATGGTATGCTCAGTGTTAAATAAATGCCGAGCTTTTGTACTATTAAGAGCCCTTACCCCACCACACACACACGCACACTCTCACTTTCTTCGATATATGTTCAGAAACGCAAACATGTATTCTTCTCTCGATTCTTCCGATGTATATGCTTTGCCACGTACATATAAATGTTTTTTTTCATTACCGATTTCTTATTTTATGCATGATTGTGTATGACCCCTTCAGTCATACATTTCCACTCTGAGCCATGTCACCCAGAGCCTCCAATCATTAGTCACGATAGTCACGTGAACCCTAACTAATCAATCTTATCAGTTCTTTTTAATTCCAGGAATCTTATGCAAACCTTTCATTACTTCTAAAATTATCACACAATTTATGTTATGTCTCTCAACTTGACTCAGTTATTACATCACCCACCCCTCATGATTTTTGTTGTTGTTTCTAACACCAAATGACCTCCGACTTATTCTTACATATAAATCCATATATGGTGATTATTGAGAATCTTTGTCATCTCAATTCATTTCATTCATTTACGTCAATTGTTTCATGCTATATCTTATCTTAATGTAAACTTTTAACATGTAGTTAATTGTATGGAGTTAATGAGAAACTACTATATCGGATGGATTCATATTATTCTGTATCCATATTCATTTTGGCTTACATTCAGTTCTTAGATTAAATCGTCGATTTATTATTGCTTTAATAATTTGATATGTGTAATTCAAGCCATGTCTTATATGTCGCGAAAATTATTTGAGAGAAACTAACCACTGATCCACTCAATAAGATCATGAGCCGATCGATGTTAGATCACCACTGAAAACCTGAAGACACTGGATGGCCATTTCGTCTTATTTCAGGGCTTTTCAACAGTGTGCATTCACGATCCCGTCACGCACGATTCGAACTCAGGGAGTTCACTTTCGCGTGAGAGACCAGTGCTTACATATTTTCAATGATGATCTAACATCAATCAGTTTATGATCTCAATCAAAAACATAATAATCTACACAACCCCATACTGATCCACTGATATGGAATTCTCAGGGGAAAAACTTCCATATAGTAAATATAAAGAACTAAAATATCCGACTGTCTTGTTTTTTCCCAGGATAATATTAGTATACAGTAATTTTGTATCTGTCTAGATCAAGATTGATGACCTCCATCAGATGGTTATAGTTATGAGAAAATTCCTATTTGTTTCAATTATAATAAACAAATTCTATAGTGTAATCAATTTATTGCTCATTCATCAATTGAAAAGAAATAAGCTTCAGCTGAAATTAAATTGATTCCATTAATAGTAACTCAAAAATTGAAGCTAGACCACAAAAAAGAACCTGGAATCACTAAACGGTAATTTTGTCCTATTGAGGGACTCTTTATCAGTGCGCATCCACGAGCTCGCTTCGCGAAGATTCGAGCCCAGGACCTATCATTCTTAGGCACGAACGCTTAACCTTCAAATCACTGAGCCCGGATCCAACGGTGGTAATGTTTAACTTCAACTAATTCATGAAATCCACCATTGGCATTAAAATGAAATATAGATTAGTAACCTGTACACTAAAAAGAATTAAGGTATATAAATGTTAAAATCTTAACACTGTGTACTAATGAAAGATCTTATACTAACATTGTTATGATACTTCTTATTCTATAAAATGTCTGTAATGTATGTTTAAGATTTTATACTCAATTGTTTATATAGTTGTCAGGTGAATAATTTGTCTCCATGTGAATGAATTTTGTAAACTTCTTGATTATTATTGTAAGATTTTTTTGATACTTGAAATTGTGTCATTCATTATATATGTTTGTCAAATTGTATGAAATAAGATAAGACAAACCATATTGTCTCGGAATCTGTTCAGTATTGTATTCCTAATGAATACGTGAGTGATTGTGAGATGCTTTATTTGCAGTATCAATGATTTTCTATTTTGTCTAATCGATAAAGTGGAACGATGATTATTCACTAAAGTTTCTGTTTAGTTTCGAGAAGTGTGAAGAAAAGAGAAAGATAATTGCAGCTGACATTGATTGAGAGAAAGATAGTGAGACAGTTGGCATGTCTACAATGATAATAATACAAGATTAGTCTATGGATAAATATTTTACAGTATATGATAATTTTGACAACACTATGGAAGCTCCTTCGATACTACGGCGTGCTTTAGAAGATAGTCAATATCATACGGAATTCCTACGATGGATTAACCTGAAAAATAGTGCATGGAGGACAGTTGACAGACTCATTCGGTGTGAAGACCGGTGTCAGGCAAGGTTGCTCACTCTTACCCTTTCTTTTTCTCCTGTTGACCGACTGGATCATAATGAAGTCAACATCTGGGGGTAAGCACGGGATACGATAGACAGCTAGGATGCAGCTGGACAATCTAGACTTAGCAGATGGTCTGATTCTTCCATCGCACACGCAACAATAAATGCAAGGGAAAACGACGAGTGTAGCAACAGCCTCAACAGCGCTAGGTCTCAATATACACGAAAGGAAAAGCGAGATTCTCTGATACAACAGAGTATGCACTAATCCAATCACAATTAATGAAAGATGTAAAATCCTTTACATATCTCGGCAGCTTCATTGATGAACACTGTTGATCTGATGCAAATGTGAAGGCACGGATCGCAAATCAAGAGCAGCATATTTATAACTGAAGATTATCTGGAACTCAAAACAACTGTCAACCAACACCAGAATCAGAATTTCCAATACAAATTTCAAGACAGTTCTACTGTATGTGGCGGAAACTTGGAGTGCTACGGAAGCCATCATGCAGAAGATACAAGTGTTTGTTAACAGTTGTCTACCCAAAATACTTCGTATCCGTTGATCAAACACCATACTATCAGCAACAACTTACCGTGGGAGAGAACAAACCAGAACAAACCAGTGAGGGAAGAAATCAGGAAAAATCACTGGAAATGTATAAGAAACACATTGAGGATAGCACCCAAATGCGTCACAAGGCAAGCCCTCACATGGAATCCTCGAGGCCAAAAGAGAAGAGGAAGACCAAAAAACTAATTGCACAGAGAAATGGAGACATACGAGAAAAATGAACAAAGATTGGATTGAACTAGAAAGGAAGGCCGAGAACAAGGTGCATTTGAAACTTTTGGTCGGCAGCCTATACTCCATTGGGTGTAACAGACGTGAGTAAGTAAGTAATATGTTAGTTTCAGCCATTCCCACCAATCATATCAGTTGCTAATGAATCACTCCATCATGTCACGTGCTCAAATATTGCATTCATACAATCAGTTGCAACAAGCTACACTGCATAATACCGAAATTCAAATTAACATACCAATTTACACTGAATATGTGACCATGGAGAATGTAGTTTGATCTGTGCGATTAATTTATCTGATTTAGTCAAATATTTCAGTGTTGAAGTGTTTATAAATACAGAATTGATTGAAACTACTTTGAAGTTATATAATGTATGATACTAATGACAGATTCACAATACACTGTTGTGAATGATAGTTAACAGTGTAACTGAATTGCTGTTGTCTGTTGGTTATCACTCACCATGACCGATGTATCATCATATTAGCAAGTGAGTAAAATATTTATTGACATAATATATAACATATATTATTATATCTAACTTTCCACTCCGCCTACAGCTCTTTTAGAGTTACTACAGTTCCCAAGCCCGGGTAAAGGAGTAGGGTTGGGCATGGGGTTAGCAACCCTATCCCGTAGAAAATTAACTCGTTAAAAAAACGCTAACCGGAAAAATAATTCAAACCATTTAAACTCTGCTCTGGAAATTAGGTCTTCATTTAGAAGAGTTATGACGCCTCATGGTGAAAGCCGAGTTCCATCGGAAGTCACGAAGCCGATGCCCCTTCTTACAACCAGAGGAACAATTTTTATAGATACATGGAACATTCGAGTACTGTGGAATATCAAGAGAATCAGCCAAATGGAAACGGAAATGAGGAGATATAAATTGGTAGTACTAAGAATCAACGAAACCCATTGGACTGAGGCTGAACAACAGATGTTAGATACGGAAGAGATGTTGCTATACTCCAAGCAGGAAGAGGATAATACTCCATGCAACCAGAAAGTTGCTCTAATACTGTCCAAAGAAGCATTATATTGCACTTGTAGAATGGGAATCTCATGAATCTAGGATCATCAAAGCACATTATTCTGGTGGAGTGGCCTATGATCCTCCACGAGGAGTAAGTAAGTAACTTCAGTACATTTTTAATTGCGTTATATTACATAATCATTCACATTATCACCAATCTAATCCTATTCATTTCAAATTCTTCCTCGTTTTATATATATTTTTAGAATGATACATATGATATAATAAGACCTGCTATTGATCAATTATCTACAATTGCTTGTTTAGTGAATAATGTTGGTATGGGATTACCGTTAGAGTTATTTACTGGAGAGATTGGTTCACCAAATCAAGCATCTATTCAAAATATCATTCGTTGTAACATTTTGTCTACAGTAATGATGACAAGCATTATTCTACCAAAAATGTTAACACAGAAAGGATCTAATCCTGGTATTATAAACATTGCATCTTATTCAGCACTTAGAACAACTCCATATTTAACTGTATATTCCTCAACAAAAGCATTTATAATACAATTTTGTAAATGTCTAGCTGCTGAAAAGTATAAAAAGAATGTGATTATACAAATATTATGTCCATTAACTATCTATACATCAATGACTAAACATGAAAAACCATCGTATTTTAATCCATCAGCTAAATTATTTGTTCATAGTGCATTAAATATGTATGGTGTAGTACAACAAACTACTGGTTATATATTACATGAATATAAAGCTTATTTATTTGATTTATTACCAACATCATTATGGATATTATTGACATATGCTAGAGTGAATGCACGTAAAAAATATGTATAATGGTATGGTATGGTATAATATTGTTAGGTCCCGATAAACATAATGTATGGTAACTTTTGGGATCCTATTGATGGACCGATACTGTGCGTATATTTTTTATCATATAATTTTTGAATAACTAAGCTATTCATATTCTCCTTGTTATAAGCTTTATTTTGAATTATGAATCATTATTATACGTTTTATCATTCTTGAATTATACCCAGTCTATCAATTACTACCTACCATACTCACAGCCACTTTTGGCTAAATCTTGTACAAATGTTGTTTCCTATTTTTATTGGTACGATATTGTCTGTCTGGTTAGTATATAAACCCAGTGTGTTTGAAATAAATGATTCATATTGCACAGGCTTAGATTGGTGTTCTGGAATTAACTGGCTAGGCTAGGCACAAAGGAGGGCCAACAGGGATACTAGATTGCTATCACGGGTTATATGAGTCGTTAATCCGGTCAATGATTCGCTGCTTCTGATTGGCAGCTTTGGGCTATAACAGATATAATACATTATCATCTCATTACAAGTGATGCTTTATCGTGATTGATTGATTGATATGAAATCTGTTTAGTTTTGATGGATATTTGTAATAGTGAGGTCCAGTTTGTTGTTGCCGTTGTTCTTTTTGAATACGGAATTTGTCAAATAAAAAATTAGTCTTTATTGACTACATTATCAGTAGGTATGTAAATATATGTGCCCTTAAACGCAATGGTACGATAAAGGATGGAAATAGTCAACTCTACCTTTGGAAATCGTCTCAAATGGTATACGGCTACTAACAGGGAAGTTCTATTTACTGCCTTTCTGAGATAAGGGTATTGATCATTGAATTGTGAGAAGGTAAAGCAAATGTCCAGCTTTGTAACCCGGTAAGTGAATATGAAGGATCTGCCCGATGGAATTGGAAAACCCTGATTACAAACGAATGGTGCACATGGACTTCAGGATATTGAAGAAATAAATGAGGTATAAGCCAGTTGTTGGTCATCGGCTATCATGGGATTGCATATCTTGGCTTTGCTTCACTGCCTTGTAGAGCAGACGTCTAGGTCAAAGGCTCCGGGTGCGGCCCTTAGAGAAAACCACCTGCTTTGGCTAAGGCAGCCGTGCAGTATCCTAGCCCTCACAAAAATTAAATGATTTATATGGTGCATATGTATCAGTCTCGGGTTGTGACGATTGTTGAGATTTTATCGCGATCATGAATTGGTAACTGTTAGACAACCCTTAAAAGCTTCTACCATTGAATTGCCATTTCGTCTTGGTATGTCATGGATTTACAGAAGTTAGATTTTAACATTGTTTGGTGCCGGCTCAGCTGTTTGGAGGTTAAGCGTTCGGGCGAGACTTGAGGTCCTTGGTTTAAGTTACTCGTGCAAGATTATGGATTCGCATTCCTGTAGACCCCATAATAGGACAAAATGGCCATCCAGTGCATCCAGGAATAATCTGAATTAAAATAAGAGTTATCTAATTCACCAATTTTTACATGATCACCATGTTTACGCTTTGTGAATCGAATGGTTAAATAAATCAAGAATTTTCATCATCTGACTATTCATCTTTCAAATCATAATACTCGTAGATGATCATTAGTCATATTTTGAAGGTAAAACTGTTATGCTAGATTTGAAGAATTACTTGAACGTTTGAAAATTTTGTGAGTGTTCTGCATCGTGCTATTGATGCATTTTTCTGGCTCTTCCAGATTACTTGCATTCACTCATGTGTTATCACGCTTTAAAGTTCTAACGGAATGTTCTTCCAAACCATTAAACCGATAGTAGCTTGTACCTGTTAATAGGTGACAATATTCAATATCATTAGCTGGCTGTTAATATATTTTTCTGTGAAACAGGTTTCATTACCAGTTACCTTCCACTTACGCCTGTTACTCCTCGTGAAGGAGCATAGGCCGCTCACCAGCATTCTCCATCCAACCCTGTCCTGGGCAATCCTTTCTAGCTGCGTCCAGTTGTAATTCATCGTTTTCATATCTGCTTCTATTATCCGACGCAATGTGTTCTTTGGCCTTCCTCTTGTTCGCTTCCCTTCAGGATTCCAAGTTAGGGCTTGTCTCGTGATGCAGTTTGCAGATTTGCGTAATGTATGTCCTATCCATTTCCATCGTCTTTTCCTAATTTCTTCTTCAGCTGGAAGTTGGTTTGTTCTCTCCCACAGAAGGCTATTGCTGATGGTATCCGGCCAATGGATGTTGAGTATCTTGCGTAGACAACTATTTATAAATACTTGTACCTTCTTGATGGTGGTTGTTGTAGTTCTCCAAGTTTCAGCTCCATACAGTAGAACTGCCTTGACGTTGGTATTGAAGATTCTCACTTTGATATTGGTTGAAAGTTGTTTTGAGTTCCATATGTTCTTTAACTGTAGGAATGCTGTCCTTGCTTTGCCAATCCTTGCCTTTACGTCTGCATCTGAACCTCCTTGTTCATCGATGATGCTTCCCAGGTATGTGAAGGACTCTACATTTTCCAGAGTTTCGCCATCAAGAGTGATTGGGTTGTTGTTTTCCGCTTTGAATTTGAGGACTTTGGTTTTCCCTTTGTGTATGCTGAGGCCTACTGATGCAGAGACTGCTGCTACACTGGCTGTCTTCATCTGCATCTGTTCATGTGTACGTGATAGGAGGGCTAGGTCATCTGCGAAGTCCAAATCGTCTAATTGATTCTGAGCTGTCCATTGAATTCCGTGTTTTCCTTCAGATGTCGAGGTCTTCATGATCCAGTCGACCACCAGAAGAAAGAGGAAGGGAGAGAGTAAACAGCCTTGTCTGACTCCGGTCCTTACTTGGAATGCATCTGTCAGCTGTCCTCCATGCACGACTTTGCACTGTAGTCCGTCGTGTTCCGGATAATGTTGACAATCTTCTCAGGAACTCCGTAGTGTCGTAGAAGTTTCCATAACGTCCTCCTATCCACACTGTCAAATGCCTTTTCATAATCAATGAAGTTGATGTATAGTGATGAGTTCCACTCAACTGATTGTTCGACGATGATCCGTAGTGTTGCAATTTGGTCTGTGCATGATCGATCCTTACGGAATCCAGCTTGTTGATCTCGAAGTTGGGCGTCTACTGCATCTTTCATTCGGTTCAGCAACACTCTGTTGAAGACCTTCCCTGGTATTGACAGCAGTGTAATGCCTCTATAGTTTTCACATTTGCTCAGATCTCCTTTCTTTGGAATCTTGACGAGGTGCCCTTCTTTCCAGTCCATCGGCACTTGTTCCTCTTCCCAAATCTTTTTGAATAGAAGGTAAAGCATGTTTGTAGTTGCTTCGATGTCTGACTTCAGTGCTTCAGCTGGTATGTTGTCGGGTCCCGCTGCTTTCCCGTTCTTGATTATTCTGACGGCCATTCTGATTTCTTCCTTCGTTGGTGAGTTGGCGTCTATGGGGATATCTGTGTGTGCCGCTTCGATGTCCGGTGGATTCATTGGAGCCGGCCTATTCAGGAGTTCTTCGAAGTATTCTACCCATCTGTTCCGCTGTTGTTGAATTTCGGTGATTGGCTTGCCTTCTTTGTCTTTGACCGGTCTCTCTGGTTTACTGTATTTCCCTGATAGTTTCTTCGTTGTATCGTGAAGCTGTTTCATATTTCCTTCTCTAGCAGCTTTTTCTGCCGTCGTTGCTAGTTCTTCCACGTATTTCTTCTTGTCGGCTCTAATGCTCCTCTTCACTTGTTTGTTTGCTTCTATGTATTCAGCTTGTGCTTGGACTTTCTCTGCTCGTGTTCGGCTGTTGTTTATTGCTGCCTTCTTGTTCTTCCTTTCTTTGATCTTGTCCAATGTTTCTGTAGAGATCCATTCCTTATGATGGTATTTCTTTAGACCCAGAACCTCTTGACACGTTGAAGTCAATGCTTCCTTGATGCCTTTCCAGTTGTCCTCCATACTAGTTTCTTCTTCTTTCAGTAGATCTTGTAAGGCTTGGAACCTGTTGTTGAGAGCTATCTTGAATTCATTGAGTTTGTCAGTATCTCGAAGGAAGGCTGTATTGAACCTTTGTATTGCTGTTTGTCCACTTGTCCAGTTCTTTTTTAGCTTCAGTTTTAAATTGGCCACAACTAGGTGATGATCTGAAGCTACGTCAGCACCTCTCCTGGTTCTCACATCTTCCATTGTCCTTCTGAATTTTTTGTTGATGCAAATATGATCTATTTGGTTTTCTGTAGTGTGGTCCGGTGAGATCCATGTAGCCTTGTGTATATGCTTGTGTGGAAATATTGTGCCTCCTATGACCAATTTGTTGAATGCACATAGATTTGCAAATCTTTCTCCATTTTCGTTTCTTTCTCCCAGTCCATGTCGTCCCATAATATCTTCATATCCAGTGTTGTCTATTCCGACTTTGGCATTTAGATCTCCCATCAGAATAGTTAGGTCCTTCCTTGGGCATTTCTCAATAACTGACTGCAGCCGCTCGTAGAACTGATCTTTAATGTCGTCGTTGCTATCATTTGTGGGTGCATAACATTGGATAATATTCATTAAGATCCCCTCCTTCTTTGTTTTGAATGATGCTTTGATGATTCTGGATCCGTGAGATTCCCATCCTACAAGTGCATTTCGTGCTAATTCGGACAGCATAAGAGCGACTCCCTGAGTGTGTGGAGCATTGTCCTCTTCGTAACTGGAGTATAGCAGCATCTTTCCCGTAGCTAGCCTTTTCTGTCCAGCTTGGGTCCAGTGGGTTTCGCTGATTCCCAGTACTGCTAAGTTGTATCTCCTCATTTCCATTGCTATTTGACTGGTCTTCCCGGTTTCCCACATTGTTCGAACGTTCCATGTACCTATAAAAATTTTTGCTCTGGTTGTTAGAAGGGGCATCGGCCTCTTGGCTTCCGAAGGAACTCGGCTTTCACCATGAAGCGTCATAATTCTTCTAAATGAAGACCTTCTAACTCCCAGGGCAGAGTTTAAATGGTTTAGATTATTTTTTCTGGTTAGCGTTTTTTTAGCGAGTTAGTTTTCTACGGGATGGGGACGCTAACCCCATGCCCAACCCTCCTCCTTTACCCTCCTTTACCAGTTACCTATCTATCCTGTATTCCTTTACCACTGAAAATATCATTCATCGCTGTTTCAGTTAATTTTCCACTAGGGATGTTCATCACTACCACTTCTAAACATTTCGAATTTCAGTTAACAGCAAATAAAACATAATACGAGTTTAAGAATTAGACGCAGTAATACGCATAAATACATCGGTACTATGTATAAGATGCAGGTCAGTGATTTCAAGTAGTCTTGTTGTATGATAATTTACTCAGAACAAACAGGACAGATTTTTGACTTTCAACTTACTTTAGCATCAATCTTAGACCTTCAACTTGT